AAAAAAAAAAAAAAAAAAAAAAACCACGGGGTGAGACCACCATACACCCTCCAGCAAGGCTGCTGTCATTATGACAGACGACAACACGTGCTGGCAGGGACGTGACAGAATGAAACGCTCACTCACCCCTGGTGGGAACGTGAGAAAACAGGCAGTTGAACCTCAGCTGTCATCTGACCCAGCAATTCCACTCCCGGTATCTACCCAAGAGAAACAAGAACCTATGTCCACACGGACTCGTACACACATGTTCACATCAGGATTATTCAAAGCAGCCCCACACTGGAAACAAGCCAATGCCCACCCACCGATGAAGGATGAACAGAAGGCGGTCCCTCCACCCAAAGGTGCTACATCCAGCCACAAAAAGAAATGTAGTCCTGATAGAGAGCCATCAGGAAAACTCTCAAAAACATGTTAAACGAAAGAAGCCAGACACAAAAGTCTGTGTATTGTAGGATTCCGACATGAAATGCCCAGAAAAGACAAATTTATAGAGACAGAAGACAGGTTAGTGTTGCCTGGCCAGGGGTGTGGGCAGAGATGGGATTGACTACAAAAGCAGTCGATAGAATGTTTTGGGGTGATAGAAATGTCCTAAACTGGATTGTGGTGACGACTCAACTCTGTAAATTTACTACAAACCACTGACTTGTACACCTGCAATGGATGAAGTGGCCACACGTAAACTGCACCTCAATAAAGCTGGCTCTTTTTTTGTGTGTGTGTGTGAGCAAGATCAGCTCTGTGCTAACATCTGCCAATCCTCCTCTTTTTTTGCTGAGGAAGACTGGCCCTGGGCTAACATCCATGCTCATCTTCCTCCACTTTATATGGGACGCCGCCACAGCATGGTTTGCCAAGTGGTGCGTCAGTGTACACCCGGGATGCGAACCGGCGAACCCCGGGCCACCACAGCGCAGTGTGCCCACTTAACCACTTGCGCCACCGGGCCAGCCCCAAGCTGGCTCTTTTTTTAATTGGCACCACCAATTCCAAGAGGAGAGAATGGAGAGTTTCATGGGTTGTCTGGGGGGAAAGGGCTCACTATACCGAGAAAAGCTAAATGAGGTCCCACCTCACACCACAGACGACTAAGTGACTGACACCAGTTGACTCCGTGGGGCCTTCCTCACTTCCCAGGGCCTGCTCAGAAGGCTGTACACTGCTGCACTAACCCCCATAATCGTCACAATCCCACTCTGCGGCAAGTACTACCATTATCCCAATTTTACATAAGAGGAAACCGAGGTCCAGAGCGGGGAAGTAACTTGCGTGGAGTTATGGCTAAAAGTGGCAGGGATGGGGTTGGACTGGGGTCTGAGCCCCCACCCCAGAGCCTCCTCCCAAGCCCACCTTGCCACAGCCTGTGAAGCCACGCTGGAGAAGATGATGGAGGGGCCCGTGGCCTTGGGTGGGGTCAGGTCCTGGAACAAGACCCACAGGGCAAAAAGTGGAAGGACTCTGCACCCCATAGAAACAGGAAGGACTTCGGCCTAAGGAAAGATACCACAGGCAAAGAGGTGGTGACAGACAGGGAAAACGCTGTCTGTGATTCTGAACCAAACAATGCTATCCAGAGGACACGGGAGCTTCTGCGACACAGGCCGGAGCGGGGACAGGAGCGGCCATGGAGAGGAGGGGATCCCAGCAACTCGGCTCACTGCTGGGAGCCCCCACAGCACGCAGAGTGCCCTGACCACACGCAGGGATAGAGAAATAAGGAAGTCGATGGAGGACACGGGAGGGCTGGGCTGCAGTGGGGCGTTGGTGTGCACTCGCCATCTCGATACAGAGGTGGCTATGGGATAAGTCACATGCGTGCACATGGACACCTCCCGGCTCTGCGCACCGGGAGGGGTTGGGGGAGTGACACCCCAGCTGCAGTGAGCACCCAGCACCAGACCACGAGTTTTAAACACAACGACAAGAAGTCAGGGCTCCCGGGAGGAGGGGCCCTTCCAGGGCTGGAGCAGGGCAGGAGCGAGGTGGATGCAGCACGCTGCAGTGCCAGAAAGCAAGGATGCATCCCAAATGCAAATTGGGGGCCACGGGAGCGCTCCCCTGGATGGTGAGAGTAATGGATGTAACCCACTGAGGACAGCAGGAACCCGGAGTCCACACGGATACGAATACATAAATGGGAAGAAGAGAAAGCCCTTCCATAGAAAGCACCACTAACAAATGTGGAGGACGATGGTGGCCGAGTGTGGCGGCCGAGGAACCCAGTGGCTATTAAAACCAGCGGGTGACAGTGGGCTTTTCCAGAGTCTCAAAAACTCTCCCACAACACGTGCATTAATTAGAAAGGAGACAAATGGAGCAACTCAGCTGACATCACAACAAGTGATCGAGGGGGTCCGCCAATAGCACGAGGAGTGACGGGGCCTAGGACCCTCGCTGGGCCGCGGGCAGAGAGGACCGCCGCTGTGACGGCTGGGCAGCACACTGCCCGAGGTGACGGGCATCCCACAGAAGGGAGGCCTGGTCCTCAACGTGTCCTGAGAGTGGGAGGAATGGAGGGGCTGTTCCCGAGGGAAGGAGATGAGAGGGGCCAGGGGCCAGGCGCCTGGTGGAGGCTGACCTCTGGGCCACAGGGCCTGGAGCTGCCATGTGGTCCCCAAAAAGGAGCAGGAGCAGAGCTTTAACCCCAGTCTAAATTATTCACAAGAAAAGGGAACGCACCTCTTTAACAAGCCATCGCTTTATGAAGCAAGGTTAACAATTCCACTTGATTCAGTGGAATATTATGAACTCTCTGGGGCCCATTTGAGGACTTCTACTCCAGGCGCAAGGTGATGACTCAGCACTTTTTATATTATTTAGAGAATAAAATTAACCCTCGCCGGCCCAGGCTGCTGCCTCTCTTGCCGCTGGATCTGGCCTGCTCAGCGCTTTCCCCCATATATAATTACAAGCTGCTATCCATCATGTGGCAGCCACGCAGCGCCGACACGCCGAAAGGAATGTAGTAAGCACTTCCACTAATAGAAGCAGAACGTAAACATAGCTTTGATATTTTCATTTAAATTGGAATATTTTACAATAATCACCCACAGCCTCTGTGGGGGTCCTGCCCCCACAAGCTGGGTCCAGTCTGGAGTCGCCCCGGGGCGCCGCCTGCCCGGGAAGGGCCTCCCTGCCCGTGTTCCAGGTGTCCTTCAAGGTGACCTACCAGCTCCGGTCAGGTCCTCAGGTCTGCCGAGCCTGGCCCGGCCCAGGCCTCAGCCTTGCGGCAGGAGGGAGAGGATGCATGGGAGGGCTCGACCAACTGCAGGGGGCTGTGCACAGGCAGGGAGGGGTGCAGTCATGCTTCGACTGTGATCCCTACAGCGTGAACCCTGGGCGCAAGGGGGGTTCCCTGCATTGACACCTGCTCCCCTTGCTCAAAGCCCAGCCCTGCGGCCCCAGGCGCCTGCAGTGGAGGGCCTGGTGTCCTGGACTTCACTGGGGGTCCCGGGGCAGGCCCTAGACTGCAAGCCCCTGAGGCAGAGGGGTCACTCACAAGGGTTTGGGGACAGGGTAGTGGCGGGCCTTGCTGTAGGCCCCTGGGCTGGTGAGTAGGCTCCCTCTCGGGGCACCAGGGACTGAAGAGGCCCATCCGGGGTCCCCAACCCAGGGCCTTATCTGCCCATGCAGCCTCCCACTGGCCCGGCCCCGCCCTGCCAAGTCCTCTCTGAAGCAAGCGGGACGGTGATAAGAAGGAAGGAGCCAGTCTGCTCAGCTGTCGGGAGTTTCCCACCACAGCAGCCCTCACGCTGACAGGTGAGGATGACAGGCGGCAATTACACGCCCGCTGCCAAGAGGAGGCAAAGCACAGTCGCCCGCCAGGCGGTTCCGATTCCCAGTGTGCGCCCTGCCCCCTCACCTTCGCACCCAGCGGGCAGTAGCCTTTGAGGAAGTCTGCGCAGACCTCCGCCTTCCGGGACACGTAGACGTGGCTGTAGGGACAGTTGCTGTTGCTGCAGATCCCCTTCAGGAAGTAGGAGCACACAGGCATCTGTGGGCAAGGCAGTGGCCAAGGGTGAGGCCAGCAGACCCTGCTGCCCCATGCGCAAGCCCCCAGCCTCCCAACCCTCCCATCAGGCATCTGCACCCCACTACAGGTGAGAACACCAGGACTCCAAGGACCCGCCTGGGGTTCCACGCCAGGCATGAGCCACACAGGTTGTGGTTGGAGACCCTCACCATGGTCCTGCCCCGAGGGAGAAATGAACACACAGAGCTGCCAGCAGGAGCCAAGGGCAGCTGAGGCCAGGCTGGGTGGGGCTACCTATCCCGAGGTCAGACCCCCAGCTTCCCCTGAAAGCATGGTCACCCAGGCAGGGCACATCTGTCCTCGCACAGTCCAGATGAGGACATCGAGGCAGGGCTGGCTGCCCCTGGCCCAGATGCGCTGTCACCCATCAGTCGCCTGCTCTGAGCCTGCCCAGTTTCCAGGCCATGGGGCCACGGCAGGATGGGCGAGGTGTTGGCATCTAGAACAGCAGAGCTGGGGGGAGGCAGAGCGTAGGGGCTCTAGGGGGGGCGACAGCCTACAGGGCCTTGAAAGCCAGCAGATTTCCCAGCTGCCTGATGCGTGGGCACCAGTGTCCGTGGGCTGGAGACCTGACTTCGCCTGGGGGATCCTGGGCGGTGGACTTCAGGAGGGCAGGGAGATGCCCTGGAGCAGCCCAGATCTTTGCACTGACAGCAGGCTGGCACCGTGGAGGCCTGGCAGGCGGCTGGGGGAGACCTGGTGGGGACATGGAGTGGACAGCCTGGGCAGGACTGTGTGGCCCCCAGCAGTCCCTGGCCCCCAGGCTGGGAGCGGAAGAAATGCATCCCAGCTCCTCCCTGTTGGGGGAAACTGAGGCCTGAGGGCCAGTGGGGGGGGTATCTCTGATCTCACTCACCCTGACTATTCTCCAGGGCCCCTCGGGGTGAGCCCTGCACCTCCCGCAGGCCAGCCTCCTGGGCTTTTGGGGCCCATCGCAGGGAATGGGAGGTGCCACGAGCTTGCCTTCCCAGTCCTGTTACCCGTGCCAGGGCCTATGTTAGAGCTCGTCCCTCCTCCTGGCTCTTCTGTCAGACCCACCCCACCTGTGCCCTCTGCAGCCCCTGGTCCCCGCTAGCCAGCACTGCAGGGCCAGGCTCCTCACTGTACCCCCACACTGCACCTCTGCCTGCCTGCCAGGGGACCCAGACCGGGGCTTCAAAAAGCTACTTTTCTGGGGTGAGGTCAGGGAGGGAGAGAGAAAGCAAAGAAACAAAGGGTGATTTAACGTGCAAGAGTTTATTTTTAATTGTCTTTTAACTGCAGCAGAAAGGGGAGAGGGGCTGGCCCGTTTGGGGCTGGCGGTGGTGCGGCTGCAGACAATTCCCTTAATGTGGCTTTTGATATAGAGCCCAAATTAGCTCTAATAAAAAAGGATAATAAAGCCCAGTCTTACAGCAAACAGAGCTCCTCCTAGCTGTCAGCGCGCCGTTATCAAGAGGAAACTGCGTTCTCATTTCAATTAACCTTGTTTGTACCCACCACGTCCACACAAATAACAATAACATTAATTCAGGGCGCTGGTGCGGGGCGTCCACATTAGACAGCTCAGAATGTGCACCGGCTTTGGAGCTGGGAGCTAATGAACCTGAAACTCGACGTGAATTTCCAAACTGCTCACAACAGAGTTTTGGAGCTCTATTAAGGAGAAAAATGCTGATTCTTTTCAAGTTCCTCAAGGGGAAAAGCTGTTGTAGCAGCAGTGCGCCTCTGCTGATCCACCTCCCCTCACCCCGCTAGCCCCCACTCCTGGCCGGCGCTGACCCCTGACCTCAGAGCCCCCAGCTCTGCCCTTCCCAGCACGCTGGCTCTCCCCGCACTGTGCAGGTCTGTGTGAGGGGGTCCACTCGTGCTCACCACAGCCAGTGGGGAGGGGGCCGGGAATGGAGGGGCCCAGCTGTGCACCTCCCTTTCCTCCTCCACTGCTGGCCTGCCCGAGGAGCCTCCAGCCTTCCAACACACCCAGTCTCACACAGCTGCCCCCGCCAATCCCAGGCCTGGAGAGCAGGTGAGGCCTTGGCTGAACCCTAGCCTGGGCCTGCATACTGGCAGCCCAGGGGCACCTGTGGGCCACTGCCCTGGGCATGTGGTGAGCTGTGAAGGTGAAGACCTCCCGTGTGGCTGGGGTAAGAGGTGGCCAAACAGAACAGACCCTGTGAAGGGATGGAGGAGCAGAGCCTTCAGGTCACACACCCAGCTCCTCATGGACACCAAGGGTTAGGGGTCTGTGTGTCCTGAGCCTAAGGAAAACTTTGGGGGCACCACCTGCTGGGAGGCTGGGTGCCTGGCATGCGGCCTCAGGGGAACACGCCTGGGGGAGCCCAGCCCACCCGGCCCAAGCTGGCGCTCACCTTCTCCTTGGAGACGTGGTGGGAGAAGGGGCAGGTCCCATCTGTCTTCTTGCACGTGCCCCGGACAAACCTGTGCAAACGGGGAAGAGGGTTTGAGGGGGCCCGGTGAGACCAGGGGCAGGGGCCCGCGCAGACCTCCCGCCAGCCCCACCCCAGAAGCCCCAGCAGGGCTGGGGCGCACCTGGTGCACACAGCCACCTTCTCGGGGTCGTGGATGTAGGGGCAGCCCTCGCCACGCTTGCACCGGCCGAAGCGGTTGTAGTACATGCAGTACTCCTCCTTCCGGCGCTTCTTCTGCCTCGCCTGCCGGACAATGGCCAGGCTGCGCTGGAGAGCCCGGCTGGGGACGGGGCAGAGGTCCATGAGCCCAAGGCCGGACTGGGAGCCCCCACCCGCCCAACCCCAAGGGACATACCTGGCTAGGGAGCGGCTGCAGCTGCTGGCAGGGTCCAACCGGCCTGTGGGGTGAAAGGCTGGGTCACGCCAGGCCCAGCATCCTGGGCTCTGCCCGCTGCCCACTAATCCCCAGTGCTCAACTCAGGCGTGGCTGCGCCCTCCAGGAAACTGCCTGCCTTCCTCTCGGGCTGGGTCGTGTGTCTTCCTGGGCCCCTGCCAGACCCCTCTAGGGACACAGCGTTGACGGAGCTGCTGGGCCATTATTTTTGCCCCACAGTGGAGAGACCGAGGTGAGGTGGTGGGAATGGGCCACGCGGGACGAGGGCTCAGGAACCAGGGCTGGGATGGCTCCCCAAGGCCACACTGGCCGTGGGCAGCAGGCTCGCATCAAGGCAGGTGGTCGCAGGAGCAGCAAGGGCTGGGGCCTCCCCACCACTTCCCTCCACCTGAAGCAGAACCCAGGAAAATGGGACCTAAGTGGGGTCTGGGAAAGTCACCTGGCTTTGCAGTAGCCAAGAATGGTTTTCACATATTTAAAGGGTTGTAAAATAAAACCAAAGAAAAGAATGAGGCAGCAGCCTGAAGCCCTCACCCCCAGGCTCAGTGGGGCTGTGTCGACCTTGGCCTGCAGAGGCCTCAGACAAGAGCATCTCGCTCTGAGGTCCTGTGGGCCCTGGAGGGTGCCCACTCCTCACAATTCTGGAGACGCCTTATGAGACGTTCCTCAAAACCCCAAGTACAAAGACCAAGCAAGGCCCCTCTGAGATCACCAAGTGTGGCCCAAAGGGAAGCTGTTCACAAAGCGGACAGTGAGAACAGGAAGGGAGCAGGTGGGCCCTCACAGCCAGGGCTGTCGGGGTTCGGGTAGGGCCGGGTTGGGGGAGGCAGGAGACACAGGGCAGGTGGGCGGCACTATCCTGTGTGGGTGTGAGCTCGCCCTGCAGGAGGAGCATCCCGATTGGTTGACAGCCCCCTGCCTGCCTTTCAGACACGAGGTCACCCCCACCCAGGACAGAGGAGGGCAGGGCAGGGCAAGAGCCTGCTCAGGATGGCCACGAAGGCTCCCTCCGTTCTTCAAACACACACTTGACCCTTCGCAGACCAGATCCAATTTCCCACAGGCAACTGCTGAAATGGATCAGGCAGTAAGAGGCAGAAGTGACATCACTCGGAAATTCTAGGGACCTGAGGCAATGACAAAGCATCCCAGGTTTAAAAAGGGACGTCCCCAAGCTGCCAGGCCCTGAGCCGCCCCCATCAGAGCCGCATGGGGGCCTGGGCTGGCAGCCCTCTGCCATTGCAAGCCCCTCCCTCCCTCTCCCCAGGGCGACCATTCCCAGGGTCCACTCAGCTTGGTCTCATCTCCTGAATTCCAGACCCGGTCACACAAGCGTTCTGACACTTCACACGGCCTGTCCAAACCCAAACTCCCTCGTGCCCCACAGACCGGAAACTCAGACGCCCCTTCTCCACATCCCACCTGCTGCTAAGCCCTGACAGCTCCCTGGACACTCCGCAGGCCCACTCCAGTGCCCTTGCTGCCCTGCTAGAGCTGCCCCTCTGGCCAGTGTCTGCCCTTCCCCGAGCTTCAGTCTCAAGTGTAAAAAGGGCAGCTCCAGACCCCCTATGGGAGGCAAGTGCTCTGCACAGTGGCCCAGGCAGCTGGGACTGCTGGTTACGGTAGGGCTGAGCAGGGCTGGTTACGGTATTATGATGTGGTGGCGGAGGGGTGGAGACACATGACCCAGAGGGCTCTGGGTGTTGGAGAGACAGAGGGAGGGGCTCAGGGTGTGAAGAGCCGGTGGAGAGGGGGGGTCTCAGGATGGCCCCAGGCCACAATAAAGTCCCGGTTCCCAAACCGGGGACACTGGTCCTGGGGATGGCAGTGGAGGCCAGTCCAGGTGGCCCGTGGTGCCCGTACACCCGCCAGCCCCCGGGTGACAGTGCAATTTCATAGCTGTTAGTGAGCACGGCTTCCCAGGCTGTCAACCAGGCTGCCAGTGACACTATGGTGCCATCTGCTCCCACCAGGGACCGCTGTTGTCATGTGTCCGCCTGTCAGACCCTGGCCCCTAGGTCTGGCCTCTGAGGGGGTGGGGATGGGGGGCAGGTTTACTCCAGTAAATCTTTCCACTTTTTGCTCTTAAAAAACGCCAGTGTGGAGCTCATAGTAGGAGTTTTGACGAGAACAAGAGGCACCTTTTCAAATGCTTTGCAGTGTTAAAAAATGCACATAAAGTAGCTGGCTTAAAAAATGGCCACAGGGGCACTGAGAGGTGCTAACAAGTTCAGCTGAAAACCCTCGGCAGTCTTGGAGTAGGAGGCAGGAGGCGCCGAGCCTTCCAGAGAACTTGCACTTCCCAGGATCTTCTCAAAATAGACACAGCCGGCTCCCCGCAACCCATGCCCCCATTAGTCCTTGGCCCAGGCAGCGGCTCACCCCTGACAGGCTGAGGAGCCCAAGTCAGAAGCTCGGGGGCTCTCAGGTCAGAGGGACCGGCCCCCGCCAGCCCCGACTTCCCCATGGCATCCCGGCCAGCCTGGTCTTTCCCAGGAAATCGGGCCCCTGGTCTGCTGAGCTCAAAAGCCCACCAGACCCAGCCTCGGCACGTGGTCACCCTTGGGAGGAAGACTGACACTGTAGGTGCTGGGCTCCCACGGCAGAGGGCGCCCCAGGAAGAGGCATCCGGGAGGGAGGGAGGCGGTGGGGTGGGGCTTTGGCTCCAGATAGGCTGGCAGGGCCCTCTCTCAGGTGCCGTAGGCAGGTCACAGATGAGGAGATGAGGCACAAAGACCCATGACCTGTCTGCGGGTGTGTGGTGGCCGGTCAGTAGCAGGGAGGAGACTGCCCACCACGGCCCCTGTCTGCCTCACTCTGGGGCCACGGGCCTCAGAACAAGCCCAGGAGCCAGGCTTGCAACCCGGGTTAAGTGAGGTGGCTCAAGCAGGTGTCCTCGGGGCTTCCGCTCCACTGCAGGGACTGCAGGCTCTTGGGGCCACAAGACACGCTAGACCCAGCAGGGCACCTGTGAGGGCCCAGCCTGGGTGCACCCGGGTCTCAGGCCAAAGCATGCGCAGAGGGGTCCCGGGGCTGGGCAGGCCTTGGGCCCGGGGTTCAGGGAGGCTGAGGTCTGCCCATAAGAAGGCCTCGCCCCTGGGGCTCGGGGGCCGGGTGAGGACACGGCTCTGCGGTTCTCTTCCCCACAAAGCCTGGGACGGCTCGGGCACCCCAACCGGCGCTGACACTGTCCTAGAGAAGCATGAGCAGCCAGGAGGAGAGGAGGGAACAGGAGGGGCCAGGAGGGGTGGAGGTGGAGCCCCTGCCCCCTCCCAAGGAGAGCTGCACTTTCTTGCTGAAGTCAATGTTCCGCTGACACCAAAGAGAAAATTTATTTCTTTAATTATTATTCATCTAAGTGGGCCACTGGTCAGCAGTCATTCCCACAGCTGGGAGCAACCCACCTTCCTCACAGCAAGAAGCCAGCCACCCATATGGGGGTCCAGGCAGCTGGAGCTGTGCCCACACCTGCTGGCCAGGCAGAAGGAGGGGGGCCTCAGGGGGCTCTGGCTGTGCCTTGCGCCCCAAGACAGACTGCCCTGTAGTCTGTGCTCCAAATCCCATCTCCTGGCCCCTGCCCTGAGGTGGGGAGGCTGAGCCCCAGGACTGCCCCTCAGCGGCCACCAAGACTGGTCAGCAGGACACAGGCTGCTGTAGCCTGCAGGGGCAGGTCAGCAGGGAGGCCCCTTTGACCCCGCCGGCCCACCCTGCCCCTGGAGGCCACTGTCCTCTTCACTTTGTTGCTGGAAGGCTGGGGTGCTGCGGGAAGGTGGGGATGGCAGGATAGCTCTGGCGCATTCTGCGTGTGTAAGTGGGGAGGCGGGATTCTGCAGAGCTCAGCACTTGGAGGGGAGCTGACAGCGTGCCATCCTCCCCAGCGAGAAGTGTGGTGGCCCCTCCCCGGGCCTGCAGGAGGGGCCTGCTCCTAACTTGGGCCCCTCCCACCTGCTGTGAGGACCACCCCTAAGGGGGCAGCCTGGGCTCTCCTCTGACTCAGAGCCCAGCAGGCGGCTCTCATGTGGCCTCCATGCAGATGTTTGTGAGGAGGCGCGGGTCCAAACCCGCCTCTTCCTCTCGGCCTACAGGCCCCTCTCCTCCTGCCATGGATGCCACTCGAGGCTCGGGGTAGTGGGTGCAGCCCCACCCCATGGGTCCACTCGGCCCATTTGGGATCAGGGTCCAGGGTGGAGGTGGCCCTCATGCAATGCAGAAGATGTGGGCAGCAGGACCCCAGCGACGGCCATGATGGCTCCTGGGTCCTGCACACAGATGGTACGAGTGCCAGGAGGGCCAGTCTCCCATCTGGCCACGGGGTAGTTCCTAAGATCTGGTGTGAATCACTGGGGCTCCAGGGGGCATGGCCCTGTGACCTTTGGCTGAGGAACACTGGCAGAGTGGGTATCCCATCGGCCTGCCAGTGAACTCCATCCAGCTCCCAAGTGAGGACAGCAGAGAGCAGAGCTTGGGTCCTGCCTGCCAGTCAGCTGTGATGTTAGGTGAAGGAGAACGACAGATGGAGCGAGGCCAGCTGATGCCTTTGTGCCCTTCGCCAAGAAGGCCCAGGGGGAGGCTGGGGCCAGCAGGTATGACCCAAAGAGAGGCCACCTTGAGGCCTAGCCACAGAGGGCCAACCAGGACATCACTCTGCAGAGTGGCTGCCCATGAGCCCTCTGTGGCTCTGTCCACCCTGCACACCAGCCTGGTTGGGGCCAGCTCTCCAATGGGCCTGGAACAGTGGTAACAGCTGGCTGAGAGAGGCTCTGCTTCATCCAGAGAGAGGCAGTGATAGAGGAGGGGTCTGAGACCCCAGCCCTCCGCAACGCCAACAGCTGCATGTGGGGCCCCTCAGACCATGAGCACCGATGCCATGAGCCTGCCAAGCTCTGGGGATTGGAGGCAACCAGCATGGGGCCTGCTGGGAGTGGAGGGAGGGCCATCCTCTGACCATGGCAGCACTCGCTCTGGGCTGAGTCATACAAAAGCCCTGCGAGGACACCCAGCCAGTGCTCGACACCTGCCCTTCCACTGAGTGAGCACTCGGTGTGCTCAAGGCCAAGGCAGAAAGGCCCTGAGAGATGACACAGCCCAATCCCTCGAGGAAGGGATGGGGAAATTGAGGCACACAGTGATGGAGCAGAGCCATGGTTTCCTGGGCCCCAGGGTGCCTCTGCAGGGGAGCCCAGTGTACCTTGCCTGGAAGAAGGCAGCCAGGTGCCCCTGAGTCCCACAGACAGAGGCCCTGGGAGCACAGCTGGGCAGGGGCTTCCAGGAGGGGCGCTGGGGCTGCCCCTGGCGCCCCCCTCCTCCCTCCTGCCCCTTTGGGCGGGCCGGGTGGGGCCTGGGGGCAGCTGGGCCTCTGCGATCCCCACACTGCCTGCAACCTTGGAAGTGGGTAAAATTGGACTGAAGCCAAAATATTTTTCTAGTTAATTTGTACAATAAGCAAATCCAAAGCATTTCCTTCTCCTTGGCCTGTTTCCCCAGGCTGCGGGGGCGCACGTGGTGGCGGCGGCTGCCTCCAGATACAGTTGGGAGGCGTTGCCAATGCGATTACGGGGCCCTACAGCCCCAGGTGTTCGCTCACCCGGGCATGTTTACTGTACCTGGCTCAGCTCCTTTGTCTAGGAGCAAAACAGGGGAAATCAGGGGCCGCTCAGCCAAGCGTGAGTCACCTCCCTCTGGGCCTTCCCTGTGGGACACAGAGGCTGCAAGCCCTCCCCACTGGCACCCTGCCTGCTCCGGCGCCCCGTCAGCCTTGTTAGGCTCTGCGAGCACTGGAGAATATGATGGATTCCCAGGCTGGGCCGTGGCCCACTGGGAAGCACTCACTTGGACCGGCTCCCTGGGAGCGCCAGGCTCCGCCTGCCTAGACCTGGGGCAAGCCTTGAGCGCGTGCACTGACACACACACGTAGGGAGGCAGGGGCCCGGCCCAAGGGCTTCTTGGCCCCCACCACCAAAGAGTCTCACCTGTGCGCAGGAGAGGCCTACTACCCCCGTCGACGCTGGGCCGGCCGTAGGTCTTGGACAGTTTGTTGGCCGACACCTTGTAGAGGACCCCACCAATGCAGCGGTAGCCTTTATTCCGCCACCGAGGGGAGCCGGGCTGGCCTTTGCCACTGCCGGCAGTGGGGCGCAGGCGGTTCAGCACCAGGGACCTGCGGAGACAGGAAAACGCCTATCAGCCCAGCCCCAGGGCCCGCAGTCAGGAGACCTCTGTCCCCTGCCCCCACACCCTGCAGGCACAGGAGGTGGCACTGCCAACCCCACCGACCAGGCTGGGACTACATGAGCCCCGGAAGGATGTGGGGAAGGGATAAGCCTCCCCCTCCACATGCATCCCCCTGGGGACATGACCACCTGGGCCCTGGCCTCCTGGCAGGGAGCTCCATCGTGAGGGGAATGCCCTCGGCACCTGCACTGAGGTGGCACCTGTACTACGCTGTCACCACTGCCCAGGAACATCTTTCCCAGGGGGCTGCCCACCACCTGGCCTCGGGACATGGATGCTGTGGGGTTAGCTCCACCACATGGAGAGCCCAGCACTGAGAGTGGGAGGCGACGGCCTCATAGACCTCCACCTGTTTGGGGGAAGCTGTTTGGAGGAAGACTGGAATTGCCTCAAGGTCAAAGGCTGGAAGAGGCCTGGGACAGCATCTGGCGTTAGCCGAGCAGACGACCCAGGCCAGGAGGGCAGACCTGGGGCCGCCTGCCCACTTTCTCCCTCCCTATTCCTCTCCCGCCAGGCCCTGGGCCCCATCCTGCCAGATGCCCACACTCCCAGGGAAGCCCACAGGCAGAGTGGGTTGGGAGGAGGCCCCTGATGCCCCCACTTAGAGAGATGCTCCCCTGCAGACACTATGGCTGCAGTGGGCAGCAGCCACAGGCCCCCAGGCTCAGGGGTGCCAGGCCAGCACCAACCGTGGGCCTGCAGCCGTACTGGCTGACCCGCTCCCCACAGCTGTCACATGGGCAGGCTGCCACGGAAACAAGGCGACAGCGCCCTCCTACCCAGGGTGCCCGGTGTGGAGACCAGCCCGCCATGACTTCAGAAGGGCATGGGCCTTTCCCCCTGAGGATACAATTCAGCAGTAATTTGTTTCTGCAGTGGAGCTCAATTCCACATTAGCTTGGACTCTGCTCCTAACACTATTCCACCCAGTGTATACACTGTGCCCCACTGGCATATGTGGGCAGACGAGTGTTGGCTGTCCTGTGCACATCGCCTCTACCTGAAGGTGGCCCCCAAGCAGCAGGAGGGCAGGGCTCAAGGAGCACAGGCCCCACTGAGGCACTGGTGCCAGCCGTGCTCACCCCCAGCAGGGAAACTGGCTTAAGTGGCCATCCGGGCCCTGTTGGGGCCTGTCCTGGGGGCGTAGTGCAGGCACCGCCCCTTCCGGGTTTCCACTGTGCTCACAATGAGGCCTCCACGGCCCTGCAGCCCCCTTCCCTGCAGAGCACATGGACCCCCCCCACTCCTCCTGGGGCAGCAGCAGACCCTTTCCTGGCCACCCAGGGGTCTGATGAGTGCAGAGGGGACAGGCAGGCCTCGGCGTCCTACCACACAGGCTAACCAAGGTGGGGAGAGTGCTCTTGCCCAGAAGTGAGGTGCTGGGGGTCAAGCAGTCCTGCTCTTAGGCGCAGCCACAGCCCGACCACTCAGCCCCGCAGCCCCTCTGGGCCTCGGTCTCTCCATCTACAAGTTGGGGGTAATTCTCGCCAATCTGGAGCCTCTGAGGGCCTGTTAGAGGAATGTGTGCAAGTGAGCTGGGCGCTCAGGGGACCCAGAGCTGTGGTGTAAGTACAAACGCCAGGAGGGCAGTGCCGTGGAGGCCGCTGAGGCCCGAAAGCACTTAACCAAGTTCCCTTAATTAAAATTCAAGTTCACAAACACCAATCTTGGGGGGAACAAGTCCCACCAAGGGGCCCTGGCTGCCCGGCCCAGGCTGTCCATGCCCGACAGGCTCCAGCTGCCCCCATATAGGGCAGGCCTGGGCAGGAGAGGGTGGGGTGGGATAGGCATCCTCTCGGGGAGGAAGCCAGACCTCCAGGCTCTCCTATGCCCAGAAGGCACCTATCCAGTCGCCTCGGCTCGCACTGGAGCCAGGCCACAGTGTGAGGAGGGCAAGGCTGGGCTGAGTCTTCTCCTCCCACCAGCCCCTCACTGCAGAACCCTGTCAGCCTCAGAGGTGGCTCTGGACCCTCCGCAGGAGCTGTGGCCACTGTCTACAGGGAGCAGCTCGGCTTGAGTCCTAATCCCCACAATCAAGAGGGGGCCCAGGGCCGGCCCTGTGGCTTGGTGGTTAAGTGCGCGCGCTGCGATGCTGGCGGCCTGGGTTCGGATCCCGGGTGCGCATCGAGGCACCACTTCTCCGTTCATCCTGAGGCCGAGTCCCACATACAGCAACTAGAAGGATGTGCAGCTACGACACACAACTATCCACTGGGGCTTTGGGGGGAAAAAATAAAATAAATAAAATCTTTAAGAGGGGGCCCAGGCCAGCAGCCAGCACAACTCTCTCAGCCTGAGGCTGACAGGCCCCCAACAGCCCCGGCCCCTAGCCCCACACTGTCCAGAGCCCTCAGTGGTCTCACTGCCCACGAGGCACCTGTCCCTTCATATGCCAGCCTAGGCCAGGGGCAGTGTCAAGAGGCCTCCACTCCACAGCCCTAGAGGGTGAGGGGACCAAGAGTAAGCCCATCCCGTGCACACAGGGCTCCTCACCCCCCATAGCACCAGCCACTCGCCGAGATCTGGTCCTCACCACGGACTGGCCACTCAGAGCCAGATCCCTCCTGACACGCTTTGCGGCAAGATAATGGGGCTGCCGCTTGACGACGACACTACTCTTAGCTGCCTCCTCCCTTGAAGGGGACCCTGTTCTCCTGGGCCACCACTACCACCCCTACCCCCCCGTCCACAGCACTGGCCGCCGCAAAGCATGAGGGACAAGTGGGCAACCGAGGTGTGCCTGCCTCCCTGCCTGGGCTCAGTGTCAGGATGCCCTCGGGAAGGTGGCAGAGAGGAAGCAGGGCCCCAGATGCCCCGTGGGCATGTGCTCCTGGCTGAGGGCAGACAGGGACAGATGCCCCCCCAGGGGCAGCTACACTAGTGAAGCCACTGGATCAAAGTAACACGAGGTGACCACAGGCAGGGCCTTAGGTCAGAAGAAGCTGGAAGCTTCGGGGCAGAGCATGTTCCAGACCTGCGAGCAGCCCCATTGCGGCCCATCCCGCCCCAAGAGGGCCTGCACTCCACAGCTCTGTGCATGAAGGAACCCGTCTGGGCTATTAACGGCCCGCCCTGAAGAGTGGGGCCCCAGGGACGCCCTCCCTGCTCCCAGGCTGGGCACTGTGGCTGGCCACACCTGCCCCTCCTGAGGAGAACTGAGCTCCATTAATTACTGCCCTCTATGATTTGTTCTTACAGTGAAAAGGCACATCTCAGGTGACACTTCTTTCCTGGGACGTTGCTGATTATTCACACCATTAGTCTTACACAGGAACATGACCAATTGATCTATCCCCTTCTCCTACCCCAAAAACCAAGCCCCTGGGTTTTGTTGGCAATTACAGGACAATTGCAGGCCATCTGGGAGGAGTGAAGGCATAGCAGCCCTTCTGCTCTGATGCCCCAGCTCTGTGCTTAGGTCTGTGTACATGCATGTGCCTGAGGGACCCCACGTGCCCAAGGGTGCAGGGCTGCGACTCCTGGGAACAGCCCTGGGGCCCACAGCCTCCAGGGGCACATGAAGAGCCTGGGAGAAGCTGCATTCCGGATGGTGTCACAGGGCTGCTCAGAGGAGCTGGACGCACCCACAGAACTTGGGGAGGGCTGGCAGCTGCATGGGACCACCACTGCCCTTCCCTCACCCCTGCTGGTCCCAATCACCCAACTGCGGGGTGGGCTCAGGGAGCCCCACCCCAAATGCCATGTAGCTTTTCATGCCGTGGGTGTCACAGCTCTCCAGTAAATTGTTACCCTAATGGAGAGGACAGCCTTTGGAAACGAACTGTATTGAAAAGAGGGGATGAAATTAATGAGATAATAGCAGGACCAAGGACCCGGAGAACGCTCCTGCCCTCGTGGCAAGGGCCCTGTAATTCCTTTTCTACAACAGGAGGCTCAGATCTAAAGCCTTCTCCCATCCGTCCGGCAGGCCCACGCCACCAGGAAATTTCATTAACGCTGGAAAATAGGAAAGGTATTAAGCGTGGATAATGAAGGCCAGGGAGGGAACCGTGCCTTAAGACAGTCCTCTCTCTCGTCTTTGTAATGGGAGGCATGAACTTCCCCTTCAAATCCATTTCTAATCCATTTGAAATACTACAGCAAATTATCTTTCCTTCAGCCCGAAAGCGGCCAGCCAATTTACTCCGAATAGAAGTGACAATGCCCCAGGATTTATCACCATAACCTTGACTACACCAGGGTGAGAGCTAGGCCTTCCCTCGCTCCCCGGGGGGGCACGAAGGACGGTGGGGGAGATAACATTTTAAATGAAAAGTGGTGGTAATGGGGAGAAAGACACACACACCACAAAAGTAGGTTTAAAAAGAAAAGCTGTCCACGTGTCCACTGCCTGGGGAACAGCTGGAAAGTTCCAGGCCCGAGGATGGCCACGCTGGCCAAGGGGCTCTGCTGACCGCAGCCCCTGTGACCTGCTGTGCCGGGTGGGGAGGATGATAGTGGGGGCCAAGGCCCAGGGAAAAGGAACCCAAGACAGGGGGCGTCAGGGTCTGGGTAAGACAGAGGGAGGCTCTCCTGGAGAGGACACGGATAGCATATTGTGTCCCCTGCTAGGCCTGCAGGGCACGCCGAGGGCAGAGGCTGAGAGTGCCCAGTCTGCCAGGGCTCCTCTGCCCTCTAAGGGTCTTGAGGGCCGATCCTGGACACCCATACTCCCTGCTCCCTGAATGCCCCATGGCCACTGCCCAGAGCAGGTCTGTGCAACCCCCAACACCATGTGCAGGGTGCCCCTGGCCGCTAGGTCAGCTTCTCAGGCTGCACAGCTGACATGGGCCCAGCCAAGGTGTCCGTAGCTACGCAGCCTGGCAGCCAGGGGCACAGGTGTGCATGCGAGGAGCGGACAGGCAAACAGGCTCCTGAACACATGCACACGTGACCACACGCACCTCACTGGCTCTATATGACAGT